TACCCATCTGGTTCCTAGGGCCTTGAAATTCACAGAGGACAAACTAACCTGCAACTTCACAATGATGCCTTGCTGAACAATTCGGTTTCCACATTTCTTGTTACACCTGCATTTAGACCAGCATTCCTTTATAAATTTTCGTAACGAATGGCCTTTGCATCATGGCACAGAACTCTTCTCATTCTTAGACCCTTGAAGTGGGCAGTTTCTACAATACAAGTAGCGGTCTTGTGTAGGTTCCCGCTTCAAGGATATACATTCTTCCAGAAACTTCACCTTGACCAATCCTCCCGGAGAGTATGCAAAGAGACCCCCAGTTTCAGCCGCACAGACGCAAGGTACTGGTGATGTCAAACAATCCCCAAAACAATGTGAACAGCAACCCTCATGCGATATACGAGCAAGTGAAAATTTCACATAGGCGTTCTTATAAACTAAATTATTGGGGATGTAAAAATAGATTGGCAGATCTTCAGCATTTCTTCCATCCTCCAAGGAAACTTTCATTCTTTCTTCACCTCTAGTTATGTCATCAATATAAACACAGGATTTAATGACTCCATGTGAAGAATGGTAGTTATGATCAGCCTCCACCTTGCATAATTTTGAAGATCTACGGCCTTGGATCACCTTAAATCTCTTTGCGGTTTCACCAAAGATGTTCTCAATATCCTTTCTTGCAAAACCAATTAAGCATTGAAGACCATCATAACAACCAAAAGCTATATGTTTGGGTATATGGGGTATAACCTTGATAAGATTTTTACATAAAATTAATTCACTTTGAAAACTTAGATGATCATATTTACTGGCAAGAACATCTTGTGCAGTACTTTCATCAAAGGTGGAATCAGTTCCTGTTTCCACAAAGCATTCTTCAACCCTACATGATTTTATGTGCGTCTCTTCCACCATTTCTAGAGCTTCATCAAAATGTAAAGGACAGAAATCAGACTGTGGAGAAGAGTGGCAAATCATAGACATTTCCAGGTCTCCCTTCGGAGTATATGATGCAGATACAAACTGTGGCAAATCAAAAACGTTATCTTTGTTGTCCGTATTCAACAATTCCACTTCCAACAACTTCAAGCCGTCTTCATCAAAATCTGAAGAACTATCTTCACCTATCAGATTGAGACTTTCCTCCAGTTGTGTGTTGCAATTACGCAGAGGATCGAAGTTATTCCCAGAGTCCAAAACCTTGAGAGTCTTCAGATTCTTCCGAATCAGAAAACAGATTATCCTCATTACTCTGACGTGCCCTTTTTAATGGAGACTTTTCAAGGCAAGATGTGGAGTGTTCCAAAGGAGACAATGCCTGTTTTTTCTGTTTCCTTGTGCAATATCTCTTGGTTGGAAGTTCAACAACTTCAGTTTTATGATATCATAAGATGGAGCTTCTTTTTTCTTCATCAAAATGTGCAGTACTTTCATATATGAAATGCTAAAACACTTAAACTTCAGTTTTATCATATAAGAAAACCATTATGCTCTCTGCATGGTTGA